GTAGGGAAGGGGCCACTGCTGTGACTCGAACTGTACTGTTCTCTCGACGTTTCTGTACACATCGAATACAAAATAGGGGTCAGCAGGTGGCTAAGGTGCTGGACTCCTACACGGCTGACCACGGCTCAAGTGCCGGACCGGATGGCTTGAAAGCCACACCAGGACCGTGTGTGAGCATGCCCAAAATCCCAGAAGGGACGTGGCGTGCGCACCCCCAAGGTGGTTTCTCTCCCTCTCACTGCCTCTCTCTGGCAAGCACACCCTTCCTCAGGCAAAACAAAACAAAACCTTGAAAGAGTTACAAAATAAATACAATGTCCACTGAGGCCAGCTCCAGAATGAACTACCAGGACGCGCGAGTACCCACGTCACCTCACTGAGCACGATGCAGACTCTGCGGAACTCGCTGCCGCTGCCCCCCACGAAGCTGCCCGGGTGCGGCAGAGCTCCGTGTCAGGGAAGGCTTGAGACTCAAGTGACAGTAAGTCAGACAAGGACACAGGGCAAGGTCTGTGAGACAGAAGTCTGGAGAACTGCTGGACGCTGGGAGAGCCACCCGGGGCCCTGGCCACTACTGTCAGGAAGAGCAGGAAGACCCTGGAGAGGTGTGGGGCGCAGGGGTCGCCAAGGCCGAGTGCGAAGGGCGGAGCCCCTCGGCCTCAGCTGCGACGTCAGGTTCAAAGCATTTAATGCGGCTCAACATTTCGACGTTCTCAGACCCACTGAACGTCTATTTCTCAAACTTGCAATACTCATTCTCGCTCCGGGGCCCTTCTGTACCTTACCCCTTCCTCCTGGCACGCCCGGCCTCCGGTGTCTTCCAGAGGCCTGCACAGTGTCCCACGAGCTCGCGTGGGTTAGGCAGGAGAGTGCCAGCAGCTGCACGCGCAGAGGCGGCGGTGGAAGAGTCACAAGTTGCCAAAGCCGACCCTCAGCTCTTTGCTGCAGTCTCTCGGCCCCACAGGCCGCACATCTGGGCTGTATTTTGGCCTAATTCCTTCTGCAGCCAACGCCTGATCCAGCGGCAAACGCGGGCTCCACGCCCAGGAGACGGACCTCCGGTTCCGCGCTCTCCTAACTCGAGCTGGCCCGACAGTCCGCAGGAGCTCCAGCCAGACGCTCTGAAACGCGCGGAAGGGCCCGCCCCCGCACCACCCTGCCCCCGCAGCCCTGCACCGTCGCGGGCTCCGCCGCGTCCCCGCACTCGGCTCTCCCTCGGCTCCGACGGGCGGGGCTCGATGGTGCCCCGCCCGGGTTCCGTGACGTCACGCCGTCCTCTCCGCTCTAGGCGCGCGGGAGGTCGGGCTCGATGGTGCCCCAGCCAGCGTCCGTGACGTCACGCCGTCCTCTCCGCTCTAGGCGCGCGGGAGGTCGGGCTCGATGGTGCCCCGCCCGGGTTCCGTGACGTCACGCCGTCCTCTCCGCTCTAGGCGCGCGGGAGGCCCGGCTCGATCGTGGCCTG